GAGGCCTTGGCAGGGGCTGCCCAGGGAGGGTTGGAGTGCCCATCCCTGGAGGTGTCCCAGGAAGGCCTGGCCGTGGCACTCAGTGCTCTGGGCTGGGGGCCAAGGTGGGGATGGGGTCCAGGGTGGATCCATGGGCTGGGAGGGCTTTTCCAACCTCGAGGATTCTGGGATTCTATAAAACCAGGGAGTCCCTCTCCTGGGAGCAGCTCACACCAGGGTCACAGTGCAGAGGGGGAGAGGATCATGCCCCAAGAGCTTATGGAGGGAGGAGAGAGCGACCAGAGCTCTGACCCAGCCAGGGTTTCCCTGCCCTGAACCCTCCCAGCACCTTCCCAGTCCTGCCCTGGGGGCTGCAGGACTCACATTTTTGTACAGTTTCTCCGCCAGCTCCTTGATGTGCCGCAGGATCTTCTGCTTGTTCCCCTCCTCGGCCCGCATGCGCTTCACCTCGTAGGCCACGAGCTGGGGACGAGGCGGAGCTGAGGGGAGCCCTTCCCACGGCCCCGTGTGCCCCAGGGTCCCAGCAGATCCCATCGGGGCTCCGGGGCAGGCAGGGCCCAGCGGGGTGGCCGGGAAGGGGCCCTGCTCACCTCGTCGAACAGGTCGATGGGCCGGTACGGGGCCCCGCGCTCGGTGACGAAGCCGGCGAAGGCCATGCCCTCCAACACCTTGGTCAGGAAATCGTCCTCGGTCAGCCCCCGCTGCCCCAGGAACGCTGCCTGCAGGGGGAGAGCGTGTGCCGTCAGTGGGGGACACGGAGCCAAGGACACGCACCCGGGTGGCACTGGGACGGTGCCACCTCCTGCCCTGTCCCAGCTGGGCACGGGGACAGGGTTTGCACGGAAACCTGAACCTCTGGCCCGCAGCAGCAGGACACGGGGGGCAAGGGAAGAGCACCAGTGTCACCTCAGTGTGCAGAGGCAGGACACAAGGACACAGGGACATGAGCACAGGGATACAGGAACTCAGGGGTACAGGAACAGACCAGAGCACTGAGTGCCACGGCCAGGCCTTCCTGGGACACCTCCAGGGATGGGCACTCCAAACCTCCCTGGGCAGCCCCTGCCAAGGCCTC